GTGTCCTCATAAAAGAAAGACTGAGGGAAGTTTGTGACACAAACACATGGGACAGAAAACCACAAAAAGTCAGAAGTAGAGATTAAAGTCACACAGCCCAAACCAAGAATTCCTAGAGGTACCAGAAGCTGAAGAGGTGGCTTCCTAAAGCCTCTGAGGGACCAAGGCCCTGCTGACATCTTGATTTTGGATTTTAGCCTCCATAACTCCAGGAGAATAAACTTCTGTTGTTTTAAGCTATAGTTTGATGTAATTTGCTACAACATCCCTAGGAAACCACAATGGGAATCCATTGTAATGGGATTGTTGTTGTTTCTTAGTTACTAAGTCATGTCCAACTCTTTTGTGACCCCATGGACTGTAGCCTACCAGACTTCTCTGTCCATGGGATGTTTCAGGCAAGAATACTGCAGTGGGTTGCCATTTCCTGCTCCAGGGGATCTTGCTGACCAAGGGATCAAGCCCATGTCTCCTGAATTGGCAAGCAGATTCTTTACCACTGCGCCACCAGGGAAGCTCCTGTAATAGGATTAGATGTACATTATGAATTAACTGTACCACTGCACTTTATTCAGATTTAACATGCTTAATTTTTTGACTTTTGATTAGCATCAAGCACTTGATGGTTCTGCTTTGGGTTTAAATAACATTCAAGGCTCTCTTTTAACCTTGGAATGTTCTGATTCCAAAAGATTCTCTCCATAATTTCTGTTGTCCAAGCATGTTTGAGAGAATATCCATAGAGCTTGTGAGAGCTGGGAGATTCTAGACTAGATAGGCAAAAATGCCTTATCATCTATCTAAGCCTTAAAAATGGTAACACATGTCAGATACCCATCAGCTGACTTGGCTTCTGCCCATGTTGTGAACAAAAGGATGTACTTCAAAAAGTTAAATAATGTATCAGTGTGACTATAAAGCATGATTAAAGAGAGGTAAACTATCACCTTATATTAGTTATATTTGTAGCTGGCTACTTGCTGAAATCCATGTGCAAACAATCCCTTGGATTTTGCATGGATGGTAGGACATTTTGATAAACATCATGGTGGCTTTTTGGAAGGGGCTCTCCACTTAGTATATCTGATACTCCTTGATATTAAAGACCACTGAAAGCATAAGCCCTAACTCCTCAATTTTCATTCTATGTCTTATGTTTGCTGGGGTTTTGTTTATTAATATTTAAAAGAAATAATAAGCATCAGATTGTTTTTCTTAAGTAAATTTCTGGTACAAGAGCCCATGATCATTCTTTCTATGACCTGTCATCTCCTGGCCCCACCCTTTGGTCCACCTCAAGAAGTGAAGGAATTATAAAGGAATAATACCATACAGCTGTCATAAAAAGTTTAAAGTATTTCTAATGGCATGGGAAACTATTCTCTATAAAGTTGAGTAAAAAAAGCAGGATAACCTAGACATACACTATGATCCAAATTTGTTTAGACACATACACATCTACATATAAATACATTCAAAAGTGAAACATTTTCACAAAAGAGCTAAATTGGCTATTTCCAGATGGTAGAATTACACATAAATTTTTCTTTGTCAGCTATATTTTCCAGTGTGCTTTTTATAATGAGCATGTATAGCTTTTATAACCAAAAATAATAATGTAATGGAACCCAACTAACAGCTGGAAGCTAAGAATCATTGTGGGGGGGCTAGTACTTTGTCCTTCAGGTAGGTGCTTATTTCAGAACTGGTTTATAAAGGATGTAACTTAATTCTGCAAGACTTTCCCAATATATTCAAGAATACTCACCATCCTGATTTCGCCTTACTGTGCTACTTGCTTTTTCTTCACTCTTCCTATTCATCATGGTTGAAAGCTGATCTGAGGCTGAGAAGGTAGAAAGAAGAAAGTAGAAGGTAGAGTGCATTATAAACAAAAAGTTACTATATTATTTCCTCAGACTTTTCCTGACTTCTCTTGGGACCAATGTGACCCAAATGGAGGAGAAAGAGCACAGAAAATCAGCAAAGCCAAGTAGCTTGTATTTTTCTGAAAACTGAAGCATTCAATAACAACCCCCCAATCCACCACCCTACTTCAGGGATCACAGCCTTGTCATGGCAAAGGGGTTTGCATAACTAAATGAAGCTATGAGTCATTGAGTGCAGGAATACCCAAGATGAACAGGTCATAGTGAAAGAGTTCTGACTCTACATATGGACATCACCAGATGGTCAATACCGAAATCAGATTGGTTATGTTCTTTGCAGTCAAAGATGGAGAAGCTCTATACAATCAGCATAAACAAGATCTGGAGCTGACTGGAGCTCAGATCATGAGCTTCTTATTGCCAAAATTCAGGCTTAAATTGAAGAAAGTAGAGAAAACCACTAGGTCATTCAGGTATGTGCTGTGTTTTGTCGCTCAGTCGTGTCCAACTCTTTGCGACCATCGAGACTGCAGCCCACCAGGCTCCGTTCATGGGGATTCTCCAGGCAAGAATACTGGAGTGGGTTGCCTCCTCCAGGGGATCCCCTCCAGGGATCGAACCCAGGTCTCCTGCTTTGCAGGTGGATTGTTTACCATCTGAGTCACCAGGGAAATTTTCTAATACTTGAGTGGATAACCTATCCCTTCTTCAGAGAATCTTCCTAACCCAGAGATCAAACCAGGGTCTTCTGCATTGCAGGCAAATTCTTTACCAGCTGAGCTACCAGGGAAAATTTCTTTCTCAGCCATTTGTAAAGCCTTCTCAGTGAACTACTTTGCCTTCCTGTATTTCTTTTCTTGGGGATGGTCTTGGTCACTGCCTCCTGTAAAATTTAATGACCCTCCATCCATAGATCAAAAATCTGGTAGAGAGAGTGCCTGAAGAGCTATGGACAGAGGTTCATTAAATTTTACAGGAGGCAGTGACCAAGACCATCTCCAAGAAAAGAAATACAGGAAGGCAAAGTGGCTCTCTGAGGATGCTTTACAAATAGCTGGGAAAGAAGAGAAGTGAAAGGAAAAGATATACCCACTGAATGCAGAGTTTCAGAGAACAGCAAGGAGAGATAAGACAGCTTTCTTAAATGAACTATGCCAAGAAATAAAGGAAAACAATAGACTGGGAAAGACTAGGATCTCTTCAAGAAAACTGGGCATATGAACTGGAATAGTTCATGCAAGAATAGGCACAATAAAGAATGGAAATGGTAAGGACCTACCAGAAGCAGAAGAGATTAAAAAGAGGTGGCAAGAATACACGGAAGAACTACACAAGAAAGGTTTTAGTGACCAGGATAACCATGATGGTGTGGTCACTTAACTAGAGCCAGACATCCTGGAGTGTGAAGTCAAGCGGGTCTTAGGAAACATTACTGCAAACAAAGCTAGCGGAGGTGACAGAATTCCAGCTGAGCTACTTAAAATCGTAAAAGATGATGCTATTGAAGTGTTGCACTCAATATTTCAGCATATTTGGAAAACTCAGCAGAGACCACAGGACTGGAAAAGATCAATTTTCATTCTAATGTCAAACAAGGGCAATGCCAAAGAATGTCCAGCCTACTGTACAATTGCTCTCATTTCACATGGTCGCAAGGTTATGCTCTGCCGGGGTCCAGCCTCGGCAGGATCCAGGGGATATCCTCAGGATGAACGGCGTCGGCGAGAGAGAGAGAAGACACGTGAGACCAGCCTTGATAGGGCCAAGTCTGCGAGGGAGAGAGAGACAGAGAGAGAGACAGAGAGAGAGAGAGAGAGAATGACCAGACGGGGGTGTTTGCAGGGTCTGGCAGAGTCTGGCAATGCTTTATTTTTTACCGTGGCTTTTATACCCTAAATTAGTACACTTCTAAGGGGAAGATAGTTTGACATTACATCAGCTTGTTCTTCACGAAACCAGGGTGTTTTCTGCATACTTCTTTGTTTATGAGGGTCTTGTACATTATCTTCTGGCCTTGGGGCCTATTGACATTTTATGACCTAGGTGAATGCAAAGCTGTTTTCCGTAATCTATTCTTTAATGAACACAAAGGTCAGTCCTTTTGCAGAAGTTATCAGTTAAATTTATCTAAAAGCTTTACCACACAAAGACTCTGCAGCTCCAGTGAGGCAGCCCCTGTTTAGCATTCCTGGTTAAAATTAACAATTTTAAACTCTTATTTTTCTAAATCTTTAACTATAACCACTTTTAGAATAATATTTTTATGTTCTCTAATAGGGCTTCCTCACCCCCAAAGGGTTCTCTGCCTACTAGGGCCTTTATGTGATCAGGTTCTTTACTCTGTTTTATGATTAGGGTATTATAAGCAATCATGCATATTAGTACCAAGGGCATAAACGCATTTGCCAAACAAACTAAAATACCAGCAAAGGAGTTTAAATTGAAATACTCCTTTCACCCTGGATAATCTCATAAAATACCACCACCTGGGAAACTTATTGATTAAAGTTCTAAATTAATTCTTATTTGGAAAGAGATCAGGGAAGGCCTTCTGCCTGTGTCACAGAAATTAGGGAGTAGTCTATTGAAGCAAGCATCAGAAAGACAGATATCATCTTTAAGGTGAGCGCGGGGGCAGCTTTTCGGAATCCCTGAAAACCTGATCCACCTTGCCCGTCAGGTTTTCTCCCTCATGACCTTGTCATGGGTGGGATCTCATGTGCCGGCTCCCGGCAATGCTCAAAATCCTTCAAGCTAGGCTTCAGCAGTACATGAACCAAGAACTTGCATATGTATGAGCTGAGTTTAGAAAAGGCAGAGGAACCAGAGATCAAATTGCCAACATTTGTTGGATCATGGAGAAAGCAAGGGAATTCCAGAAAAACATCTGCTTCACTGACTATGCTAAAAAGCCTTTGGCTGTATGGATCACAACAAACTGTGGAAAATTCTTCAAGAGATGGGAGTACCAGACCACCTTACCTGTCTCCTGAGAAACCTGTATGCAGGTCAAGAAGTAACAGTTAAAACCAGACATGGAGCAGCTGACTGGTTCCAAATTGAGAAAGGAGCATGACAAGGCTCTATGTTGTCACTCTGCTTATTTAACTTTCACACAGAGAACAGCCTGTTAAATGCTGGGCTGGATGAATCACAAGCTGGAATCAAGATTGCCAGGAGAAATATCAACACCCTCAGACATGGAAATGATACCACTCTAATGGCAGAAAGTAAAGAGAGACTCAAGAGCCTCTTGATGAGGGTGAAAGAGGAGAGTAAAGAAGCTAGCTTGGAACTCCACATTAAAAACCTAAGATCATGGCATCTGGTTCCATCATTTAATGGCAAATAGAAAGGGGAAAAGTGAAAGTAAGGACAGATTTTATTTTCTTGGGCTGAAAAATCACTGCAAACAGTGACTGCAGCCATGAAGTTAAAAATGTTTGCTTCTTGCATGCAAAGCTATGACAAACCTAGACAGCATATTAAAAAGTAGAAATATCACTTTGTTGACCAAAGACCATATAATCAAAGCTATGGTTTTTACAGCAGTCATTATGAATGTGACAGGTGGACCATAAAGAAGGCCGAGGGACAAAGAATTGACGCTTTTCAACTGTGGTGCTGGAGAAGACTCTTGAGAGTCCCTTGAACAGCAAGGAGATTAAACTAGTCAATCCTAAAGGAAATCAACCCAGAATATTCATTGGAAGAACTGATGCCAATGCTGAATACTTTGGCCACCTGATGCGAAGAACTGACTCATGGGAAAAGACCCTGATGCTGGGAAAGATTGAAGGCAGGAGGAGAAGGGGGCGGCAGAGGATGAGATGGTTCCATGGTATCACTGCCTCAATGGACATGAGTTTGAGCAAAATCAGGGAGACAGTGAAGGACAGGGAATCTGGATGTGCTGCGGTCCAGAGTAGCAAAGAGTCGACATGACTGAGCAACTGAATGACAAAACGGCCACTACTTCTGCAAATAGATAGGTAGTGTTTTGGAGGACACTATTTTTTACTCCAAAACTACTGGACCTGGTCACTGGTAACATGAAAGATTTCAAAAAATGTTTGGCAGGAAAACTAGATCTTAAGTTTCCTTGAGGTCAAGGGCCATGAGCTTCTTCATATTTGTTTACATATGAACAGCTCTTGTTAACATAGAGCTGAATGTCACACATAATACCTAAGAAGTATGAGATCCAGAAAAAAAATATTTTTGTGGATTTCAAAGGAGTGCAGAAGCAGTGTCTAATAAGCTTATGAGCACAATGGAATGAGTTTTGTTTTATTAAAGGTCAGCAGAATTTGATAAAATCACTGTTTGCCAAGGAATGGGTCACAGAGCAAGCTGGGGAGTATGTACCTTTGCAAAAGATGTATCAGAATGGGGAATACAGGGGACCAGAAATGACATGTGTGATTTACATATTTTTAGGATCTTATATGAAAAGTGAAGTAAGTATATGTATGATTTTCAGTGGATGGAGTGGGAGGTGTGGGTGCTTTTGAAGAGCATGTACGAAGAATATTCCAATCTGAGCACATATACAAAACTGGTTGGAAGGTATGGCATTCACAGGTATGGATTTTTAAAGACTGAACCACTGGCCTGAATAACCAGGTAACCCATTCAAACCACTTTAGTACTAAGAAAATAGAGCTGCCTTTCAAATATCAGTGATCATGGCTTTCACTATCTCCAGACCCCATGACCATTCCTAATCTGTATACTTCCAACTCTTTATACTTAGCTTTATATTTTTCTTCATAAAAGCTGAAGGATGGTGTTTACAATTTTTTCTTCTTTTCCACTTAAGGAAATTTGGCATGTTTTTAAAATTTTTTAAATACTCTTGCCTTCAGGCTTCTATTCTCCTGGTATTTTATAGAATAGTGTTTGTCTGGAAGGCAGACAGCAAAAATACTCATATGTGATCATGTGGAGAAAAGTAGTCTGCATTCTGAAAGCAGTGGAAAATACTGGGTTTGACAAAATGTTCATTTGGGTTTTTCTATAAAAGATTACAGAAAGACTCAAACTTTTTGGCCAACCCAGTACATGTGTAAGACGCTGTAGGTGGAGGGAGCATTGGTTAAGCACAAGTTAAAGGAGAAAGGCGACCCTTGTCAATTAGATTATGAAGCTCAGCACTTCTCTCCAACAATTTGAGTAAATGAAGGCAAAGTCAAGGTACAACAAGCATATGCCTGTGGACCACGTGTATGTGTTTGTGCACGTTCCCTAAATATCCCTAATATATTCATCCAAGGGGCTTCCCTGGTGGCTTAGACTGTAAAGAATCTGCCCACAATTCAGGAGACCTGGGTTCCATCCCTGGGTTGGGAAGATGTCCTGGAGAAGGTAATGGCAACCCACTCCAGTATACTTGCCTGGAGAATTCCATGGACAGAGGGAGCCTTGTGGGCTTAGCCCAGGAGATCGCAAAGAGTCAGACAGAACTGAGCAACTAACACTTTCATATTCATCCAAGATGTTCTTTTCCTAAGCCTTTAATACATCCAAAAGTGAAGTTGCTCAGTCGTGTCTGACTCTTTTGGACCCCAGGGACTGTAGCCTGCCAGACTCCTCCATCCATGGCATTTTGCAGGGAAGGATACTGGAGTGGGTTGCCATTTCCTTCTCTAGGCAGGGCATCTTCCTGACCCAGGGGTCAAACCCAGGTCTCCTGCACTGCAGCCAGACTCTACCATCTGAGCCACCAAGGACGCCCCTAACACATCCAAGGTAGAAAACAATTAAAAGATGCTCTGTGTATACGATTATCAGGCCAATCACATGGACAGAGCCTCCACTGGGTCTCAGAATTCGGGGTGAAACCATGGGGAAAGATCATTTCAGCACCAAAATGGGTAATTTCAGCACCCCATTGGGTAATTGGATGGCTAGGATGCAGGTTTCTTTCATTTGATTTTAAGTTATTCTCAAGAAATACTGCCCATGGATAAACTCTATGATTTCTAGCAAAGAGTAAGAGATAAATACTCTTTCATTTCACACTTAGGTTCTCCTATGAGACTATTCTCTATGGCGGAGGCTTCATAACTGAAGACTTTCATGATTCTTTATTTTCCCAACATTTCAAAATTAATAGAGAAGAAACTGAAGAGGAAAACATTCCCCAAGTAAGATACTAAAAAGTAAAACATCTGAGACGGGTGGGATGAGGGAGGAGGTTTAAGAGGGAGGGGACATATGTACAGCTATGGCTGATGCATGTTCGTATGTGGCAGAAACCCAACCCAATATTGTAAAGCAATTATCCTCCAATTAAAAATAAATATTTTTTAAAAGTACAGTGTGTTTCTGAATTTCTTTAATAAATTTCATTTCAGTCTTCAAAATGTATGTCTTACAATGCATCCCATAACTAGGTGAATACATTCACAGTGGTATACACCCCCAAATGGTTGGTTAAACTTCAAGAGTTGAAACTTGACTGCCAGGGGTCAAATTCCATTTATTAACCTCATGACCTTGGGCAAATTACCCTAACCGTACTGTTCCAGGTCCCTTGTCTAGGTAACAAGAATCCTATAAGTAATAGTCCCAATACTTCATTAGGTCATTGTCATGAGGATTAAATGAGTTAATCCCTCCTAAAGGTTTAGCATAGTCTCCAGTACACAGAAAGGACCCAATAAATGTAAATGAGGTTAACATTATATAAATAAAAGAAATCATACTAAAACTCATTCTAAGACAGGTTTCAAAATTGAAATTGTTGACAGCAGACCCTTGCCTCCACTTCCCACAAAGAGGGATTGAGTCTTCTGAGATGATTTGCAAGCAAAAGATAAAGACATAAGCTATCATACACCAAATCAAATTCCATTCACACAAAATAATTTCCTCATGTTGACAAAATTGTTATCTTCAGAAATACTACCTTTGTTAAAACTCTAAACCCTCAAAGCCAATAGCTAAAAATGTAAGCAAATTAGAAGTCACTCTCTCTGTGTAGCTTTCTAACAAAATTTCACATCATGAACTTCTAATAATGTTTCTTGTCCACAGATTATAATAACCTACTTCCAAATCACATCATTTCCTTTTTCTGCCTCATTTCCTTCAAAGTGAAGCATAATTTTTTCTTGGACCTAGAATAAAAAATTCTAGCTGAACTAAGCAAATCATTACCAGAAATGAAATTTTATAATAATACTATTTCACAGTACTCAAAAAACATAAAACATCTGTGTGGTATTTGTTAATACATAAAAATAACCTAATATTATAGTGTACACCACCTAAGTGGAAAATTTAGTCTATAACCAGAAGTGCAAATAGAAATCACTAGATTCCATCAGTGTTGGGTTTTGAAGTCCTGTTGGGAACATTTAAGAACTGTGACACTTAAGTCTTAGCCAGAGGTCACAAACTTCTTGGCACAGATGTTTGTTCAGCCAACACAGTATTTCAACAATTATTAAACTCACAGATCTTTAGGTGGGCCATGCCCTCTATTTACCTGATGTGCCCTTAAAGGCATTTTATTCGGCAAAACATGATTAAGGCCCTTCATTACAGAAAAGAGATCATATGATAATCAGCAGTTAAATAGGTACCTCCATTACTGACAGCCTGAAGTCCAGGGAAATTAAAGATACTAACAGTCACACTCAGAAATTCTTCTGGTTTGCCTGTTGGACTAATTTTAAATACATACTTTCAATGTATGTACCTAACAGTGGCACATTTGATTAGGACTGCTGAGTTGAGTTGTTAAAAATCATTTACAGCTTGATATTGAAAGAAGCCAGAAAATAGAGAATTTTAAAAAACATATTCTATTGATATGAAAATCTGCACTAAAGTCCAAATTTCACATAATTTTTAAAAAATTAAAGACATTCAGTCCATCGTTGGTTTTTCTTCATATAAAAGGAAGTGAATTTGCTCAATGCACTATATAGAAAGGAAGTAGTTTCTACTAATGTATTTTTAATGACTATTTATATATATACATACATAGAGACACAAGCACATATGCACAAACTCAGAGCAGCAACTGAGTCAACTATTACTCTTGGGTTTTTTTAGTTTCATCGCAATTTCCAGAAGATTCTGTTCCACTTACAAACTAAGTCTGAGTCTAGGACCCAACAAAGGGAACACTGGAGAGGGTTTCCTAAAACATTAGTCCATGTTTCACTCCTAAGGTATTAGGTTTTAGGCACTGGGGAGGCACAAGCTAGCAGGCTTTAGAGCCCAAATGTTATTAATCAAGCGTCCTTTTAAGTCAACATGGCAGACTGTGTCCATTCACACTGTGCCAGTAAGCACACCCTTGTCTCTTGCGTCTTCTTCAGAACACAAATACAAGGCACCTTGCAGTGACTTTGCTGCTGGGGGCAGTGCGTCTGCCCCTGGGCTCTCCTGGATTAGTCTCTCTGAAGGTTCAGGCGAATTCTCCCTCCATCCTGGACTCG